CGCGGGTGCGGCCGCCGCCCGGGGCTGCTCTGGGTGGCTCCTGGCTGGCGTCGCGGCGGTCGGAGACGGGCGGGAGGAGACCGGGTGGCTTTTGGGCCCGAGTTGCGGACTGATGCTGCGTGCGGGGGATTCAGGCACCCGGCTGGGCCTGGTACTCTGTCTCGTCTTCACTCCGTTTCGTGGACACTTCGTTTACTGGGCACTGCGGGACGCGCCAGTCTCGGGGTTTCCAGCTTCTTGCTCATCCTTTGTTCGAGAGACAGATGCGTCTTGTGGCGAGCCACCGGAACAGTAGGTTTCTCTGCTCAGCGAGTAGCTGCGTGTCTCAGGTGTGGAGCACCTGCGTTCGAGTGCAGGCTGGACGGAGCCGCCCGGGCCAGGGTCCTCTGCGGCTGCCGGGAGGGTGTGCTTTTGCTGCCGCTTTGAACTTGAGACGAACCTGGGTGTCTTTTAAAGTCTTCTCGATGCCGTGAGCAAGCCTGGCCGCCTGGCTGATGCCTGACTTCTGATTTCAGGGTTTCTAAGGAATCGCTTTTCTTCTAGGTTGGCAGTCAGAACGTAAATATTCGTGCCGCCGTATTTTAAGTGTAGACGTTTACGTTAGTGAGCGAAAAGTGGCTCTTCAGAGGGGCCAGTATCAAGCCCGGTGCTGACTGACAGCCGTTCGTTGAGTGGGGAGGTGGCCTTGGGGTCCAGGGTTCAGCTGCATCCGGAGAGAATTGGATCCAGCCTGTGCACCACGGCCGGGCGCTCAGTGTCTGCGCCGTGGCCTTCCTCCCGGTAGTTGCGGAAAAGAAAGCACTGTCACAATTCCCACTCGGCAAATGCTGAAAGGCGGCCTTGTCCGTGATGGAGATTTAACGGACTGTACAAAGCAGCCGGGGTAGTTGGCATCATGTGTTTCTGCCTCTGTTTTCCCTGCTAGGTAGCCGGAAGAGGTCAAGTTACAGCTGGGGGAGGCTTTGCCAGTTGCCAGTCGCCGCTACCTGCTTGTGAGGTTGTGCTGGCGTTGTGCCTGAATTGCTGTTGAAGTTGTGTCTTTTGCTTTTTGAGAAACTTGGGGCATTAGGGTTTTCCCTTAACTTAAGCACATCTGGTTTTTAGTTTAAATTCTTTTTATATCCAGATGATTTACTGCATGAGAGGGCTTAGCTGGTTTGCTCTTGAATGTGGGTGAGCATTTTAGATGTACTTGAAGCAGGATTTACTTTACAAATCAGTTTTGATTTCCTCTTTGGGAGCACAACTGCCTTGCTGTTTTCTTCAATCTATTTAGGAACTCGTATTTGAGCTGTATTTCAGTTTTGGACTGTTCTCATGGGAACCTCTGGATCAAAATGCTTCTTCCTGTGGGTTCTTTTAAAATCAAGTATCCTGACAAAAGTTACTTATAGAATGTAGCATGACTTAAATTGAGAGAGAATCGAAGTAATTCTGTTGTATTTCATTTTAGGTTGTTCATTTTCTAATAATTGGAGCCCTTAGTGAACATGGCTTGAGAGAAGGTACCTTCCACGGGGGAACCCAGCCAGACGGCTCCGTGGCCTTTTTTTTTTTTTTTTTTTAGTTGGAGTCTCACTGTCACCTGCCCAGGCTGGAGTGCAATGGCACACTTATGACCCACCGCAGCCTCAATCTGCTAGTCTCGAGCGATCCTTCCGACTCAGCCTTTCAAGTAGCTGGAGCCATAGGTGCATGCCACCACGCCCGGCTATAATTTTGTAATTTATTGCCAAGTTACTTGGACTGATCTTGAACCCCTGGGTTCAGGCATCCTCTCGCCTCTGCCTCCCAGAGTGCTGGGATTACAGGCATGAGCCACCATGCCTAGCTCAGTGGCTTTTGAAACTTGGGTTTATAAAGACTTCGTGAATGTTGTCTTCGTCGTGGCTCACTCCCAGCACTTTGGGAGGCCAAGGCCAGGAAGCTAGCTTGAGCCCAGGAGTTCGAGGCCAGCCTGGGCAACATAGTGAGACCCTGTCTCTACAAAAATATGAAAATATTTGCTGGGTGTGGTGGTGGTTGCCTGTGACCCCAGCTACTTGGGAGACTGAGGCAGGAGGATTGCCTGAGCAGCCCAGGAGGTTGAGGCTGTGGTGAGCCATGACTGTGTCACTCCACTCAGCCAGGGTAACAGTATGAGACCTTGACTCAAGAAGCAAAACTAAAAAACAAAAAAAAAAGCAACTGCATGAATGTTTAGCAAAGAGAAGAAATACAGTTATGATCAAGAGAATCAAGTATAAAACTCCATTTAGAGTCTTTTGTCTACAGGTGACACTGAGTCAGTGATTACCTGCCTTGTTTTCTTTCTTTGTTTTTTTTGAGTTGGAGTCTCACTCTCCCAGGCTGAGGACAGTGGCACGCTCCTGGCCACTGCAGCCTTGACCTGCTGGACTCAGGCAGTCCTTCCACCTCAGCCTTCCAAGGAGCTGGAACTACAGACACGCACCACCTTGCCCGGCTAATTTTTTAAATTATCATTTATTGTAGAGATGAGGTCTTGCCACATTGCCCAGGCTAGTCTCAAACCCATGGGCTCAGGCAATCCTCTCACCTCGGCCTCTCAAAGTGCTGGGATTGCAGGTGTGAGCCACTGTGCCGGCCACCTGCATCGCTTTCTTCACCCAGAACTGGGCCCTGGACTGTGTGAGACAGTTTGAAACCAAGTCCTGATTTTTTCTGGAGAGAGAGCTCATTTGGCATTGTTAGATGTAATCAGTTTTGATGTCGAATAAAGGATAGATCATATTTAAAATAAAGGATGTTTTATATAGATCATATTTAAACTTTCACATTCTTTGTGAGTAGAATGGGTTTAGACTCTAGTGACTCTGGCAGGTGAAAGATTAATCAGTGTTCACTGGCTTCAAGTGTAAAACAGTCCAACAGCTTTTTAACTAGCTTGCCACCAAAATCCCCCCCCAGCAGTGTGGTGTTTTTATTCTCCTCCCTAAAGATTCTGCACTTCCTGTCTTTGCAGTTAATATTCCAAAAAGGGATGTTGTCTGTGAGGGCAGCATTTCTTTCTAGAGCATTCCACTGTGCCTCTACTTGGAATTTTCAGTTGCACAGAACTTCCGTGTTGAGTGAAATACAAGCCTTGACCATGGTGTAAGTGAACTCTTTTCTTGAGGCTGTTACTGACACTTCCTTGAGTGGAGGAGCTCAGTGGGTGAATGTCCCCATTGGTGGCGAGGGCGCTTCTCTCTGGAGCAGGGCCCGGGTCTGTATCTGCATTCACCTTGCTCCAAAAAGCTGTCGTGCTCACCGTTTCCCTCTGCCTGCCTGTGTGTTTGTGAAACATGGGGAAGTATTTAAACCGAGAATGCCCTGAGTTCCCCACTCCACATGGTGGGTTCCTTTTGCTGGGGTGAGATGGAGCCTAAGTTGCCATGATGGGAACAGCTTGATATCACCTGGCCAAGTCACTTTACTCTTGATCCTTCCCACGTGGCAGGTGTTGTAAGGGGGACACGTGTTGTACGGCTTGCAGATGAAGCATGTGATTGACTAATTTTAAGTGATTAGTCTCTTAGTTTATGGCAGGGCTGGATGACTACTGGTCTACTGCTGTTTCATCTATAAGTTTAAAAGGTTAAACTTGCAGCAACTTTGTCACAGTTATAATCTTATGACATACAGTTATAAAATCTAAGAGGTTTTTTTAGAGCTTAAAATCACCTTAGAATTTAGTCAAATTCATTTTACAGATGAGGAACTTTTTTTTTTGAGTGGAAGTCTCACTCTGTCACCCAGGCTGGAGCGCAGGGGCACACTCACAGCCACCACAGCCTCGGCTTGCTGGGCTCAGGGAATCCTTTTGCTTCGGCCTTCCAAATAGCTGGAACTACGGGCGTGCACCACCAAGCCCAGCTCATTTTTTTTTTTTTTTTTTACTGTAGAGGTGAGGTCTCGCCATGTTACCCAGGTTAGTCTCAAACCTGTGGGCTGAGGCAGTCTTCTCACCTCTGCCTCCCAAAGTGCTGGGATTATAGGTGGAGCCACTGTGCCTGGTCCAAAGCCTTAATTTTAATTAGAGTTTTTTTACTTTAAAAAGCTGAATGCAAAAGAAAAAGCTTTTCACTTCTTTATTGTTAAATTGTTATTGATGTCTTACAGTTAAAATGTGTGCCTGCAGCTTGGCCAGGTAATGGGGCCCTGAGGGTAACAGGAAGGTGAGGTTCGCCCCCCCACCCGGTCTCATGGGGACGTCCACATCATTGTAATTTAGTGACCTTTTTTTGTTTAAGTAGGGACAGGGTCTTGCTGTGTCACCCAGGCTGGTCTCAAACTCCTGGGCTCAAGTGATCCTCCTGCCTCAGCCACCCAAAGTGCTGGGGTTACAGGTGTGAGCCACCGTGGCCCGCTGAAAGCAACTTTAAAGCGTAAAGCCAGAAGTTTTTCTTCCTGCTTAGGCAAGCCCAGATGCACAGTTGTCCGTCTACGTGTGTGGGATGCTGTAGACCGGGGGACTTGTGGGATGCCTTTCCAACAGTGGGGGGCGGCCGACGGCTGTGTGACACCCTTCCCCTGACTTCTTTTTTTTTTTTTTTTTTTTTTTTGAGTTGGAGTCTCACTCTGTCGCCCAGACTGGAGTGCAGTGGCCGCTGCCGGCCACCGCAGCCTCTACCTGCCGGGCTCCGGCGATCCTTCCGCCTCAGCCTTCCGAGTAGCTGGAATTACAGGCATGCGCTACCACGCCCGGTTAATTTTTTTGATTTATTGTAGAGATGAGGTCTCGCTGCCCAGGTGGGTCTCGAACCCGCGGGCTCAAGCAATCCACTCACCTCAGCCTCCCAAAGGCGCGGGATTACAGGCTGAGCCACCGAGCCCAGCTCCCCTGACTTCTTTGCCAGCCCCTGGACGTTTGGCGGTGTGGGCTCCTTTTCCGGGGAGAGGCTGGCGTGAGGCATGGGGAGAGGAGCAAGAGGGAAGCCTGGTGGGGTTGAGCTGCTGGCCTGGGCTCTTCCTTCCCAAGGCTCTGCTGGGAGCACTTTGCCGGGAGCACAGTGCGAGTAGAAGAGACTGGGCTGGGCCCCTTGGAGGCCAGGCTCCTGAGGGAGGAAAACGCTTAGCCGCGCAGCTGCAGGGCTCAGTGTCCCAGTGACTGTGAGCCAGGTCGTGGCATAGAAAGGCTTGTGGCGTCATCCCCAAAACCATGTTGAAATGGATTAATCCGCTGGAGGGAGGCGGAAACGCTTTCTGTACAGAGCAGTGTTTTGCTTGACTGTGTGGTGTTTTTTCTTGCAATGGACTTTTCCCTGGAAGGTTTTCTTTTCTTTCTCCAG